TATTTGTATGGCCTAAAATTTTTTCTCTCCTGAATTTGGGTATAATTTGTGGATGTCTATGTGTGTGTCCATAGCACCCGCGATCAGGTTTCCCTTAATGGGAGGCCTATGAGTGTGTGCGTTATTGTAATTTTTTTCGTTCTCCGCCATTGACCTACCAATAAGTGGACGTCGGGTTCGCGCTAAAAAGTGTAGCACCTGTAGGGCGTTAAAATCGCATACAGAGCGTCAATCGCGCAACAGTCTTCGTTTGTTCAACTGACAGCGCGGTTGTCAATCATACAGTATCATGTATGATAACTTGTAAAAATTACTGCAGTAAAGTGTAAAAACAGGATTTTGTATCATATTTTCACTAAACAAATATATTGTGTTATCATAGTTCTCATTTAAAAGTGTTATTTTGTACAGTTTTGTCGTATTTAATTTATATATAAATGAATCGTAAATATAAATTACAAAAGCACACAAAATAATAAATAGCTAACTGTCCTTTTTCTACACATTGCATGCGCAAAAGATGGAATGAGACCCATTAAGAATTCAAGAAGCTTACATAAACTTCTTGGTCATTTTCAATTGTTCGAACCACAAGCAATTGAAATCATTAGAACAAAGAAACTATAGAGTCGCTTTGATTTTCATCTTATTTTAAAAATGATTTTTTATTAAACGTTAGCAATAACTAACAAAATATTGTTGTACTCGTTTTACGGCTTGGGATTGCCTATCAGAAGTCAGAAAATACATTTGCCCGAAATAACGTTAGCTTGAATTTTCATAATGTCAAATGTATTATTTTAGGAAGATTACAAAACAAAAGCTAATTTTGTCTTTGTGAAAAGCATCAAAATTACTCGAAAGCTTACGGTTTTATTATAAATCGGTTTTCGGAATTACGGATATTTAAGTTCACGTGGAATATCGGTACATTTCTTATAGTACACGCTTATTTTCACATTTGTAGTAATAATTGTATGTATGTATCTGCCCAACTCTTTATTATTTGTTTAAGTAAATTTGTACAAAATTCGCCACAATAATATATATAAAAATTAATTAATATTTACGATAAAGGCTACTCCATTACTCTTGTGTTCAAGTAATTTTCAGTCGAAGCTAAATATGGTGCATTTTGTCAAATTTCCAGTAGAAGCTGAATATGGTGTTTTTTGGGACCCTTAAATTGCCACAAGCAAAATTAAACTCAGGCCACACAGACGCGGTATAGCGGGAAAAGCGTTTCGGAGGCGGACATGCGGGAAGTGAATGCGTGCCGGGGCATGCCACACAGCAGTCCCGAGTGTAGTTCGCGACGGGACAGCGGCACGGAGGCGGCCGGTGTGACACCAAAAACGTCACGCCACATTTCATTTTCAACACAAATAAAAAAAGGTCCATGTCACTATCGGATAGTGATGAAAAAGGACTTCTTTAAGCGACAACTTTTGTAAGAGATTACCATTGTAGTATAGGTACATTTTTTACAGTATGGGATGTCAAAGTTACCGTGAAAAAAAATCTGCTAAAAATTTGAAGAAAAAATTAAATACGTAATTTTTTAATGCTGAAACTTTAGTAATTCGGGTACCTTTGGCATTGTGTTCATTAGCTGGACTGTTTCGAGTTACCGTTACAAAAACTAGAACAGCAAAAAAAATTAGCAAACTTGTAATTGTAGTACTTAAAAATGGGGTACAGGGCGTACATTTTCAACATTTTTCATTAAAATGCTTATATTACAAAATGCTCCTCCGATTTTTAAATATTTTTTTCTAGGTAGTTACAAACTAGGCAACATTCTGTTCCCAGGTTATTGTTGAGTTTTGGGACACCCTGTATACTTACTTTGAAGGTTTTGAATCAAACATTTCATATGAACAGAAATTGTTTATTTAAAAACATTAAAAAAATTCTATAATCTTAACACAATTAACTTGATGCTACTTTTCCAGTGAGACTCGCTGGGCATTTTGATGATAACAAATAATAGGTCTCTAAGGGTCGTATTCTAGAACTCTGCTCAATGCTCAAGTCAGGAATCCTGACTTGAGCAATGAGTAGAGTTCTGGAATATGACCCTAAGATTTGTAAAATCAACAATAATAATTGCATTTAACTACTGTACCTACTTACTTTATTATTAACAATGTATATAATTAACTTGAAGTTTCTTTTTCTATCAGTCCAAATGGGCATTTTTATTTTAATAAATAATAAGTACCTATCTAAGATTTGTAGAAGATCAACTATTTTGTTTAAGTCATGTATCTACATTCATAATTTGATTATATTATTACGAGCATTTTTATTTTAACAAATAATTGATAGATCCCTATCGAAAGTTACATTATTATGAACAATCAACAATCTTAACACAATTAATTCAAACTTCTTTTACTATCGGTGTAATGCTGGCTTCCTATGGCCCATGGTTTTTTATTTTAACAAATAACAGGCATCTAAGATTTGTAGAATCAACAAACAATTCTATCTAATTTTATGTACCTACTTAAATTATTATCAATAATGCATAATTGAAATTATACTTAAGAGCTCTCATGCCAAAAAGTTTTGACGTTGGCTCCGCCCCAATTTGTGAAACGAATATATGCCTGGAGTTCGCGTGACATGCGACAGGAGATGTTGAATTTTGCGCATTATAAGTACCAAATTCGTTTTAGCGGAATAACTCTAAAACTAAGGGTTTAAAAAAAAATCCGTAGTGACAGTAGTCGATCATGCATAAATATAATTATCTAATTTTTGTCCTAATAACCTGTAGCATTTCGAGGACAAATCGAAAAAATGTGAAAATTAGAGGTCATTTCGTGATTTTTATCTATCGAGGAAACTTTATTGTATCATGTTTCTGATTAATGTCTATGCTTGAATATATCGTGTAGTTACTCATACAATATTTTATTTTTAGCTTTAAAGTGGATATACCCCTCTACAATCAAATCGAAGATTACGAATTTTTCCTCTGCTCTCTCTTAACTTATGTACCTACTTATACACTCGGGAGCAATGAATCCGAGTCACTAAATAAAAATCAACATCTCAGAACTAACAATGCAAACTTATTCAAATAAAAAGTGTTTTGTAGACCATTCAATACTCTAATAAAAATTATAAAGCTCCTTGGTTGCTATATAAAACACTTTTTATTTATTAAATTAGCATTCATCATTTCTGATATATTGACGTTTATGTTTGTGTCCCAGATTAATTGCTAGTATTACTATTCTTTGTAATAAGTCTTATTACATTTTTTATGTTATCACAGCATTAATTCAGTACCATACCTTTTGGAATTACCTGTGTAGTTTAGTCTTCAACAATATTACTGGTATCATAATGGGAAAACAAGTCTTCAGGAATTAGTTGCAATGAAACTGGGATACTTTCTTGATCATTATTACTTGTTGTGCTAATTAAGATAAATGAAGGAGATTGTACCGGTATATTGAAATTTGATTTTCTTCTAGGTCGTTCAGTTCAGCTTCTGTAAAAATGTGTACAAGTTTCAATTTGATGTCGGCTCGATTTGTGGGTTTCAGTTTTATAAAAGTTTCTGCATAACTAATAAACAGGCAATCTAAGGCGTCATGTTTTTTCTTATTATTTAAATAATTTAATACTTTATTCACGTCACCTTGAGAGTCTAATTTCCTTTTCGTTGGAGGTATTGGCACTGCTATCACTGGTGTAGATGGTATTTCTGGCGGGGGAAGGGGTATCTCACAGTTGATTGTTATTGATGGAGACGTTTTCCACAACGTATTCGGCCAGCTAACACGGAAATGGCAAGTCTATAGACGTCCCATGCAATGTGATATTTAAACGACAATAGAAGTTATCAAAGGCACGTGTTGTTTACACAATTTCGTTAAAGTAAGAACGGTAACAATACGGTTCAATAGAGCGATTCTCAACCACTTGAGGCCAATGAACTACTTCCAATTCCTCGTACAAATCAAAGATCGTCTGATTATGTAATTGAAATCAAGAGAAAAATTTGTTAATTATTCTAATAATAATTAAAAACATAAAATATATACTCACGACTTTGATTTAGCTATTTGGAATTATTTCCCAAATCTTTTGTATATTTTTATAATTTCTATCACTTGTATTAAATAAACTAAGGTATGATTGAACCAGAGATATAAGTTTTTCCGTCGAATTCATCTTGAAACTTGATTAAAATCAATTAAAACACATTCCATAGTTGTAAAAAAATACAACGTCCATGCCTGCTGAAGCCCCGCTCCCGGATCGCGCCCCGCCACTGACGCTCTGTGTGAACGGTTGTATAGAACTCAATGTATTACAACACCCGCGCCCGCACCCGCCCCGCGGTCGCCGCGGCCGCGGCCCGCGCCCGCTCTGCCTGTTTGTCATGGCGTTATTGGGTCCATAAGAACTGGTACATTACAAACATTCCCGCGCCCGGAACGCTTCCGCAGACGCCTCTGTGTGGCCAGAGCATTAGGCAGTACTGCAATAAAGTTACAATTTAAATTAAAGCTTTTAGTTTTTATATTTCTTTACATGTCACTATGTTTGTATAGGTTAACATTTTTTTCGTGTTTTTGTATTAGACCCGACGTCCATTCGTTGGTAGGTCAACGTTTTCTGCCTGTTGGCTGGCTTGACCCCACACTTATTATTATTATATTTATTATCACAAACTCAGTACCATAACAAATAACTTTCTTTCAAAACTTTAGGTTTAGGCTATAATACCGAACAAAAAGTACATCGACTTTTAAATAGTTTTTATTTTTATTACCAAAACAATAAATAATAAAAAAAACTATTTCCCAAATCTTAATACTATAGTTACGAAATAAACGAAAATGTTAAATGAAAATTAATCGAGGGCCTCACCCAAGAAACGTGTATAATCCATTATTAACTTTCAGAAACGAAAACATAAAACACAAAATCATTTGAAAATTTCAAATTATTTTGCATAATTTTTTTTATTGGAGAAAGACGCTAAGGAAACTTTAGATGTTGGGAAGCATCAGCTCAGGGTAGTGGATTGAAAGAACGGCTTCTTGGTTAATGTTCTGGAAATTTTTATTTAAGTATTCCATAATATTATCGCAAAATACTATATTAATAATAGGGTGTAATGTCATGAAATATGAAATAATAGTATAATACTAGAATATTTAAATAGCCACAGAAATTAGGCAAAAAACCCAAAAATACTCCGTGCAGATCTAAACATTATCAGGAAAACAGAAGCACGGTGAAAATGTGTAGACTGGGTTACACCCAAATCTTCTAATTCTATTTCTTTTAAATCTCTCTAAGCATCTGCAACGAATATTTAGTTCTTCCTGATCCCAGTCGTCGTAATGAAAGCAGCAACCTTTTGCGGGGCATTGGGTTTCCATGGCTCTTTTGAGAGTTGGACAGTGTTTTCCAGGGCACGGTGGTTTCGAAGGGGGTACTTGGACATTCATGTCATTTGGAGCTGAACAAGTAACAGGACATGGACTAACTTGACCAGTGGTGGCTGGCCTGCCTTGAGAACAAGAACCTTGAGAAGCAGGAAATTCTGATAAAACATTTTGCTGAGAAATATGTTGATTGTCAGACTGTGATCGATTTCTCATATTTTCTTCAGTGAACCGTTTAATACCTTGCGGGTCAGTGGAACGATAAAACAGTGGTCCTAATTGGTTAGGTGGTTCAATTGCTTGCCTCGACTGTTCCGCAAAGCTGTGAACGCCAGCTTGGCGAACTGAACATGGATTTCCTATTTGTTGGGGACTCGTAGGAAGGGTATGATAATCTGCTGAATTCACTGACTCGTGATGAGACTGATTCACATTCCTTGGCTGGCCTAAGACATTGGGACGTCCAGCTACAAGTGGACTTCCGCATTCATGGAAACTACGTGGTTGCACGTTTGATTGGTCTATTTCCTGGCCTGGATAAAAACTTGAGCTTGCAGGGTTTTGCTGCTCAAATGAAGTGTAGCGTTGTGGACTTTGAATTGGAGCAGCTGAACGCGGTCCAAAGTATACTGAAGTGTCTGCCATTACAGAAGGAGGCTGTTGCTGTAAAGGGCCTGGTTGAATATATTGCACTGGTCCCAATGAGGTTGCTTGCTGGGGTCTAAGAAGAGAATTTGATGGCGGTCCAAATGACTGACTCCGGTTTCCTCCCGCAGTTGTAATATTTCCTATCGGCTGCATACCTTGCAACTGACCAGCTGCAGATGCATCATTGGAACTTTGCCATAGACTTATTGTCTTGTCACTGCTATTTCCATTACATGGAGCGTTTGGTACCTGTCCCGATGACAACTGAGCATTTATTCCTGGTGGTATTGCCTGTTGTACGCCATATATATTGCCATTGTTATTGCCATTACACGGTTGAGCACAAGGAATTGAAACATGGTTTCCTGAAGACCTTGCACTTTCAGAAATTGGGATTTTAGTATCTGCTGAAGTATTTATAGACTGGTGTCCATTTGGTACAGGCATTTGATTATAACTGGATGCTTTTTGAATTTGTCTACTAAAATCTGCAAAATTTAAATTATCAAGTCCAGTGGCATTAAACTTGTCTGTTCCGTAATTATTCATATTTTTAATACGATTAGTCAATTCATCTACCATGAAGTTTAAGTTTAAACTCTGGTCTTTTTGTAATGGTAGTTTATCTAAGAAAGCAGAAATTTCCATCTTTAATAATCTGGAACCTTCGATGTTAGAAACGTTGACTGATTTTTCTAAGTTGTGTACTTTCTTAGCAAGCTTGTCTTTAAGCCTTCTTCTAGTGAATAATTCTCTCGTGTTTTCAATAGTAACCATAGGCAGATAACCCATCCATTGTTCAATTTCCATTCCAAGCAAAATTTCATCAGCTTCAGCTTTTATGGTCTCATCACTTGGTAAGGGCACTTGTTGCATGGCATACAATAGTTCGTTCATGTACAAATCTCTATCAATATGTTCGAGTTCTTTTTGATGTGTCCTTTTCAGTTCGTCGACAATCTCTTGAAGTCGTTTTACTAGCTTTGTTCTAAACACATTCGCTTTTAGCTGATCTTCATCTTTAAATCTTGCATAGAGGATATAAAGCTCCGCCAATTGAAGAATTTCTAACTCTTCATGAAGTTTTACTGGATTCTCGTCGGCAATATCGGTTCTTGTTTTCGGTATATGTGTAAGTATATTATGAACTAAATTTTGCTTAAGTATGTCGGGAGCAAAAGACGATTTTATCTGCTCATTCGTGTTTACAGTTTTCTCAATAAATTGAACTTTTAAATAATGTTTCTTAGCCAGCAGTTCTTCTGTTTGTGGTAACGATTGAAATACATCTTCGAGTTCGTCGTCTAATAAATCTTGGTAGTGGAATGGGTTGTATATACTCGAAGGATGATTTTTTAATTTGGCTACTGTTTTCCAGACCGCATTATAAATCCCTAATCGCAGTTTTTCAGCTAAATTTTGTTCTTCAGGTGTTGACGATGGTATAGGTATCTCATGTATCCAGTTTTTGACAAAATCATCGTATTCATTATTCAGTTCTTTGACTGATTTAGAAGGAGTAAGTAAATTCGAAGGTGAAGCGCTAGGGTCAGACGATATAGCATTGGGAACTTGTAAATTATCCTGTTCTTTGAAACTTACATAAACAGACGAGAATGTTGCTGGATTCTCACAGTTTACAGTTTTATTTAGAGCTGGCTCTGCAGTAGTCACATTACTAAGTTGACTACTAAGTTTTGACGATTCAAACATAGACAATTGACTCATTCGTCTAGGTGTATTCATAATAATAGGTTTTTCAGTGCATAAAGTTTCAGGTGAAGAAGAACATCGACGACAAGTTTGTTCAAATGATTCCGTACTACAACTTCTATCTGAAATAATTCTTAGTAGATTGTCCGTTCCGGTTTCTTTCTCGTGATTTTCAGTTGCATATTTGAAATTGTGTGCATCTGTAGAGTTCAGGACAGGTAGCGGGATTTTTATTATTCTTCTCATCAAATCGGGTGCTGCTTCTAGCGATGCCCAATTATTTTCTCCAGTAAGCTTGCTAATCAATTTAAATACTTGGTATTTCAAGTGTTCTATGTCATCGAATAAATAATGTTTAGGTGGATTTAGTTCCAAATATTTGAATCTATCAACTATATCTTGTGCTAGGTCGTCTATAATTGCCTGTCTACCGGGCTTATCATAAAAATTCAATTTATGACATCCAAAATCATTCAACCAGTGGTCAATAACGTGCGATATTTTCAAAGTATACAGTTTCAAATTATCTTCATAACTTGTTTGCGATTCGCTGTCCAAAGTACTTGCTTTATATGTATGAAATCCGTTCTGGTACACAATTATGGATTCAGTCTTTGATTGTGGCTTTTCAGTTATGTGAGATTCATCAACAACATTAAACATTTCCTTCAACTGTTCTAATATTCGATTCGCTAGCTCTTCTGGCTGTGCTGCAAACATACTAGTTTCACGTAACACACTGATGATTTCTTCTTTCGCATTCCTGTCTCTGTCTGCCTTTATATCACCCATTAGATCTAGTAAAATTTCAATTATATCAGCTTCGATATCATTAATCCTATCTAAATTGTATTCCAGCTTGTTTTTCTCTACGTAATCCATTAACTCCTCTCGTACAATCACTTTTAATTCATCTTCGGTGGGTTGTATGCCACTTGTGAAGATCGTCATACCGCTTTGAGATAAATTAACATATTTATATCTATTAGTACTACTACTACCAACACCAAAATTGATTCTGTACAATCTGTTAAGTAACATGTTGGCCAATCTGTTTAAATAAGTTTTTCTAGTAGTTCCATAAAAACTAATAGGTAGATCATCCAAAATATCAACGATTTTAGCTCGAACATTCTTTCTACGTCCATTAAAGTTAACATTCTTAAGTTTATTAGTGAAAATGGTCACTATCTGCTCTCTTTTAACGGGTCTGTTCAAAAAATCGTGTGATTTCAAATTGATCCCGTCTAACCAAGTTTTAATAACATCTATTTTGGCATAATTGTCTTGAGTTTTAAGAAGTGAAAATGATGTCGACGGTTTATCAACTCTAGAAATCTTACTCTCAAGAGGATAAAAATATTTTTGAATTATTGCGTCATTTGTAAATTCATGGGAGAGTTTCTTTAAAAGTTGATCAGTTGCATTGAAGGATCTACACCACATTATAGTATTTATTTTCTGCAGCTTCGTTTTAGAGACTCTACTGAGCTTGAAACTTAATTTTTCAACATGATCATCGTTTGAATTTTCTTCAACATGATTTATGACATGATGCAAGTTAATATCATCTTCAGAAAAGCTAAGATGAGGTAGATAACTGCTAGAAATGCCAAGTTCAATGACGCTTAGGGTGGTATGTATGTTAATGTTGGGAAATTTGGACGTATTAAAGGAGTTAGTGGAACGCGCACCTTCCGAACGTTGGTCGACTGATGACGATGATGGGGAAAGGGGGACAGCTACCTGGAACAAATGGATGGATTGAAACTACCTGAACGTTAATAGTAGCTACAAATAACTTAAGTTATAAAGATAGATAGATATACACACAGGAACAAAAACAGTATATAGACAGCTTAAAACTAATGTGGCAACGGCAGCCTTATCACTAAGAGCGATACGTAGTGCGCCAATAGCAAAATTTGGATGCATAGACAAACAAAAATAAACATCATATTTTATCAAATAATAAACAACGATATATTTAGTATACCTACATATATACGAGGGTCATGCCAAAAGAAATTAGATTTTCAAAAATAATAAAATTTATTCTTTATTAAGGTATTGATTTTTTTTTAATATTCACCATGAACACGTATACAATTTTCCATTCGTGTAAACCTGGAATATATCGATGACCACTCTTCTTTAGACATCTCAGAAATCTCCAAGTTATCAGCAGCCAAGGCATCTTCTTTGCTTTCAAACCGCTTGCCTTTTAATTTTTCTTTAATTTTTGGAAAGTGGTAAAAATTACAAGGTAGAGTGATGCAGGATAGATACATTTTTTTAATGAAAATAGTCGAGTTTTCTAGCAGAAGTGTGCGAAGCGGCGTTGTCGTGATGCCAGATTCCTGACTTCGGTCGCTTATCACACCTAGCTGACAACACTTTTGGGGCACAAACTGTTATATACCATTCGCAGTTAATTGTCCTTTAATGCTCTAGCACTACAGTAGCAATGTGTCCCGTCAGGCAGAAAAATGAGGCAACTATTTGTTTTTGTGTGCTTCGTGTACGACGACATAACATTGGCGTCGGCTCATCTTCAAAGCACCATACAGTGGACTGTCGCTTTGTTTCAGGTTCATAGTTATATAACCATGTTTCGTTACCTATCAGTATATCATAAACGATTTTTTCTCGCTAGCGTCGAATTTATCTATCATAAATTTGCACCAACCCAAGGAGCACACTTTATACGCCTTAAAACTGTTATATCTATAAACAGTCTTAATATGGTATAGATTTAGATACTATTTCTCTGTAAATGGTTTTATAAAAAAGAAATTGTTCTTATAGACTTACGAGTATTTCACTCAAGTCAAAATTGTAAAACGTTAATACTAAACAACTTAATTAAGTGTAATCTCTCTTAAGATTTACTCTTATAGTCCTTATTTTAAGTTTATCTATAGAACAATTGATTATTTTTAGTCAAATTGTTGTGTACACATCCAGTATGGTCTATTAATACTCTAAAAACTAGTGTTCTTAAGTTTAATTTAGATATATTTAATTTATAGACATTCGGTAGTGTTTGTACTTATGACAAACACGATAAAGCGCATCTTCAGTAGATTTTATTTTAAAAAATACTACAATTAGGGTTTTTATTCTATTGGAAGTTGTAAGAGTTCATGCAAAATGGATAAAGTACAGAATATTAAAAGATCTGGTGGAGGTGGTGAACCTTAGATATTATGTCACATCATTCAATACAATCAGCGTTGCCAATGCCAATTGTTCAAAATCCCCAAATTTGGGGAGAGCAAAGTTCATATTCCCTACAAATTCCCCACATCTCGAGTTTTCATTATTTATTAGAAATACATCGCTTAAAAATATAATTGCTCGGGATAATTTAAGGTTCTGATATGGATAGACGATACGGCAGGCCGCAGTCTTTGCTCCCTTATTAAAACACTTACTGAATTGGGAGATAATTTTCGTACATTTTAAAATATTTAAAAGCGAGATATTTCTTCTAGCAAAAACACTAAAACAATTGTGATATGGACAAAGGTGACATACATCAATAAGGAAAATAAAAAATAAAATGTTAAACCAAGAAGGTTTCGCGACAATAATAAAGAATTAAGAAACTCAAAATGTAATAATCTATTACGTTTGCTGTGAATGTAAACAGAATGTAAAATGTAAAACTAATTATAAAATTAGATGACCTTAAATCGTTTATTTATTTTAATTAGATTCAACATTAATCCCAGGGATCGGAATAGGTAGAGTTTTTATACCTGAACTTCGAGGAACTTAGACAGAAAATGGAGACTGCCTTACGACAATATTTTTTAGGTCCCAGGACCTTTTCGGGATTGGGGAAATCACTTAAGAACATTAAAAATTGACGTAATGGAGGACAATCAGGTACACTATATTTATCTTAACTTTGCGATTTGTAGACAATGACAAAAGCTTCTTATGAGTGAATATTCTTCTACAAGATCAACTACACTAAAGCAAGTAAAAATAATCTTTTCGTATTCTAAAGTTTTTCTATAGATAAAGCTATAGACAAAATGCTCCCAACAGTGTTTTGAAAAAAGCTTTAAATTCTTATTTTTAAAGAAATTTTAACTTTTAAAGAATGACTATGAAGTAGCCGAGAAAAATTTCTTTTCTT